TATCTGCGGTAAAACATATTTAGGGTATGAAACAACCCCCCAAAGTGTGAGGGTAAAATGGAAAAATTGCGATATTTTCGAGATCAGTGAAGCAATTTTGATGATTTTTGGTATGAAAGTATCAATTATAAACAATTATAAACAATTTTGTTATAAACAATATACAATATGTTCTTAACACGTTTGATTCGTCTTACGTACCTAACAATGAATGGCAGAAATTGTATTATATTTTGAAAATCGCATGTCACAGATACAGTCTATTTAAGTAGATTTTCGAGTTTTCGTCCGTCATAATGGATCCGTTATATTGAATTTTGATTTCAGATTTCCATTCAGTAACGTAAAAAACCGATATATTAAAAAGATCGAACAGTTAAGAGATACAGTTTTGCAAGGTGTTTTACGCGTAGTACCAAACGAGCGCGGTAATTTAGGAGTTATTTACGTCCCAAATATTTATATAAAAAAAAAAAAAAAATTACGTGTTCCATAATTAACTTTCCTCTTGAAGTTTTAATGGATTTTATTTCGATCAGATCAAAAATGATTTTGTTGCAGCAAGAAATTGGTCGCTTTAGGGTACTTCACCCCCTAATTTTCACTCCCCTTCCAACATACCTAGGCCAATTTTTGTTTTCTATCGAAAGATACTTTCATACTAAAAATCAGTAAAATTGCTTCACTGATCTTGAAAATATCGCAATTTTTCCATTTTACCCTCACATTTTGGGGGGTTGTTTCATACCCTAAATATGTTTTACCGCAGATAAAAAAAATACGTGTCCCCTAATTTTTCATGTACTATAACATATCCAAATTTCATAAAAATCGGAGAGTGACACTTAGGTAGGTTTACTTGTAAGAAAAAAAATTGTAAAAAGTTAAAAAGAAATATTCAGAATATTACAGTTATTTTAACAATAAATTTTTAATCGATTATTAATAATTTTAATATGTCCCATTTTTATTTAAATAGATAATTGCATAACTTTAACTGAATACATGAATTTAATTAACAGGGTTAAATTCGTTGACATGAGATTAACCTCCGATAAATTTTTTATCAACGATGAGGTTTATATTACTCATGTTAATAAACATCTGCTTTAATTTAATTGTGACTTTACTGCAACCCTAAACTTTAGCGATATTATTTCTGATTTATACATTAAATTTCTTGGAAAGAATTGCTAATACCTCTGTCGACCTCTGTCTGAAATATTTTACTGAAATATTCGTTTTCGATCCTCGATATCTTAATGTGTTTTACAAAATTATCTCTAAATTGCTGTAGGCAATTGATAATCTAATGCGAAAATGAACATTCGAACGATTAAAGTCATAAAGCGATATTGTAATTTAATTTATTATGGAAAATAGAAGAAACTGTCAGATTTAAAATGCATAAACAGAATATAGCATTCATATTTGAATGCTATGTCATCTTGAAACATATTATTTTATATTAAATTTCGAATTAATTGGTCTAAATTAATTTAATTAATTGATACGAATTAAATTAATTTAATTAAAATTAAATTTAATTTGAAATTTAATTAAATATTTAATTAAAACACAATATTATTCTGTATTAGAATGATTTTTCTTTATTAAAGTGCTATTTCTTGTAGATAATATAAAAATACAAAATATAAAACATAAAAATCAGTCGTTAATTTTCTATTATCCCCTTCTCATGCCATTTATTTATCAGATGCGTCAGTCAAGACCAACTATTCAGGGCTATAACATTAAAACGAACAAAGAAAATTAAAATGTTGCAACTATTTTATATTCGGGGATCCTTGATAACGCAATTTATAGTTGGACCTAAATTTGAAGTTAAAGAGAATTTCAAAGAATAAGTTTTGTCACATTTGAGCAGTAAGTGCGTCACGAGTGAGACTCGTCAAAGCCCGTGGAACAGGTTAATAATATTTATTTGTATAACAGGTTTTGAACAAAAGAAGGATACATTTTTCTCGTCGGATTTTAGTGTTAACATTGAAAATAATGTTTTGGACAATGAAATTGTTGTCTCGTATACTGTTTATGGTATCACTTATAAGATGAAGTGTGGTATGTGCAGACTGGTTTTTGTAAAGTTGGTATTTAAACGTAAGTATTTTCAGTCTGCTATGTAAATACTTAACGCTGTCGATATCGAACGCTTTGCACAATTACTACTATTTAATTAATATTAACTAGGACCTCAATTTTCCATGTACATTTTGATTTTGATAGGAAATTGTTTAAAATGTAATACTCTGCACTTTCCCCGAAAATGGGGTAAATGCGTAATTTGAAATTAAATACATTGAAACTTTATTTCATGTCCAATGGGGCAAGAGCAGAATTATTAACAAATCTGGAAAAACCTTCAATTCTGAAGAGCAAGTCAGGCAGGCTGTTGAAAGCTTCTTCCAGTCCAAACCAACCACATTTTACAAGGAAGGAATTGATAAACTACCAGGAAAATGGGAGAAGGTTATAGAAAATAGTGGTGAATATATAATAAAATAATATAATTTTGTTGCTTAATGAGAACGAAATAAATGTCTGATAAAAAAACGGAAGTTACTTATGACTTGACCTAATACTTTTTACTGCACTATGTAAGTACTCTATATTGCAAACAAGTACTCTTAGCTGAAATATAAAAGGTGATATAGTGAAGCAAAACAACGGAACAAACATACTAAATGGAGAAATTACGCTCATATTGTAATAAAAATAGCCTGTATACGCACTTGCCCCTTTTACGAACTTATCCCACTTCACCTTAACGTGCGTTTAAATAGAAGCTATTGCAAAACTAAACATTTTCAAAAATATAGAATATCGAAATTACTAAATTTAGAAACTACAAATTTTTTAAATTTCTGTAACAGATGTAATTGCAATAAAAGAGATATTATACATGATTATTGTAATAATAATTTTGCGAATTCGAAAGCTTGCGACTAACTTCCTTTTGAACATTAAGTTTCTAACCAAATATTCTTACATCGACCCAATAATCACGATAATATAATATATTACACCATAATATCCAAATACTAATGTGAGTCATCGTACGTGTATGAAAACATGAGCAGTCGAGTCTGCCAGACAATACTAGCGATAAACGTATGAAAACATTTATGTAATATCACATTACTCTTTGCTACAGATACGTCGTATGGCCGGTCGTTTGTGTATCAGTTTACTTCGGATTAAAGTCACTTGATTTTTGTTCTTGAAATAATATTTTATAGATACGTACAAGATGTTTAGACTAACGGCATAACGTTGATACTTCAGCCATTTGTAATAATGCGATAAAAGAGGTTAGGCGTAGATACGTTTTCTACTTTCGTAAATACGAAACATGCCGTTATTATCGATAAATACTACGTTCCAAAATTTATTGAACTACAGAATTTTACAAAAATTTTATTATTCACACTACACAATTTATAAATCGAGTTATACATTATAAATTTATAAATTACATGTGGGTTATTCCACGCCAAATCGATCACATTTAGACGTGACCATCTGCGATTTTGCTCTACTCAAAATATGTTACAGTCCATGAGAAATTAGGGGGG